CCAGAGAGAGGGACACATGTTGTGTGGAATGTTTGCAGAGAGAGGATGTAGCATTGCACAGCAACTGGAAGGTGAGAATAACCATTGTGCTGTGTGCGGAAATCTCAAACTCGAATCCTTCGCTATATGAGCAACCTCTATACGAGTTTTCATTTATATGTGATATAGTAGTTCCTACCATTGTTTTTACTTTAACAAGCAGATTTTCATGAGCTGGGCTTCAGAGATTCTTCTTTTCTTGCATCTTCTCAGATGAGGAATTTACTTTTTATGATATTTTAACTTTTTATATATACATATAACTTGTTATATACATTTTTATATTAAGTGCATGTACTGTAGTACAGGATAGTGCTTAATGTTTATGCATTTGCTAATGACTGTAATGCTATAATTACTGTACTCTAAATGAGCAGACATTTCATTGTTTTCCTACCTGATGTTTATGCATCAGCTCATGGCTTCAAGTGTGTTACTTGAATAATTAACCAGAAATGTTATTGTTTGAATACTCTGGTATCTTCTGTGCTGTATTAAAGTGATGTCTGGGTATCTGAGGAAGTATTTTTGAGGTCTGGAACCAATCAGAGATTATAACACAGGAATTGCCATTCTAAAAGTTTTCATTTTATGAGCTGTTTTCTAAGAACACATTGAGCTCGTATGAAGGGGATGGCTTGTTCTACATACACCCAGTACCTTCTATATTATAACACGTAAAGTTTACCTCCTGTGGCTGACAGGGCCTCTTGTTACGCCCCTGAGCTCTGGAATTTCATCCTGAAGGATATCATGGAGTTACTTACCCTGAGTGCATTAAATCTAGACTCAAAACTTTTCTTTTCATAAAGGCCTTTATTTAATCAGTGTCTATGTCTGATACCTTTTCTAATGATCCTGTATCTTCTACTGGACTTCCGAGCTCTTGTTTTTCCTATATGTCCTTACAGTATACTGTACATGTCCTCTGTAAATTGCTATTCTCGTAACTGTTTTTTACACCTGCAGTAAAAAGCTTGGAGATGTTACTTTTAAAGGTGCTATGTATATAAAGTTTATTATTAGTTTGTAAAAGCTGCTTTTTGTGACAAGGTGACCATGTAAAACTCACTTCGAACCTTAACAGACCCGCACTGTGACTTCTTGCGACCCTGCAGTGCAGAGTGAGCCTTCAGGGGGTCTTGGCACAGCCCTGTTCATCTCTCCCTCTCCCGCCTCTCACCTGGCACAGATCCTCATAGCGAGGGACCAGGGAAAAATCAAGTGAAAGTAATGCAATCAGCCCGGGACGCCGCCACTTTCCACACAGGTCTCCTTCAGCAGGAATTCATTACCCTGATAAAATTCCCCCTGAGATGCCACAGCCTATTATAGCACTTGCACAAGATCTTATTATCGACCTGCTATAACAATCACTGTAATTCTAGGAGGGGGCTGAGGTCTTGTACCAATTCTTCTCACAAATTGGAATCTGTTGTGCTGCTGTGCTGCTGCCCCCTTCCCACTCCACACACACACACACACTCACGCGCTCCTCCATCTGTCCCACTTTGAAATGTCTGTTCTGAATTATTTCCCAGTATTGGGCTGCTGTCAGACCAGGAGCACGGCTACAAAAGAATGGAGATCTTCTGGCCCATCCAGTCTGTTCAGTAGTTAGTAGCTGATTGATACAAGGATCACAGCCAGATAGTTCTTGAAAGAAGCCAAGGTATCAGATCAGCAACATGGCATACTCCCACCACCCTTTGTGTAAAGAAGCGCCTCCTGTCCTGATTGGAGCTCATCGAGCTGGACATTGAAAGAAACAGCTTAAATAACAATGTTTTCTTTAAGTGCTGTGAAATGATTTAATTGAAGTTGTGCATTCATATTTTGTCTTGTTTACAGGTCTCAAGTGGACACCCAGCTAACACAATGACACCCTGACCAAGAGCGGAGAGCCAGTGCTTTACAGCAGCTTTCTGATTAATAAGTTATTTTGGCTCCATCTAGCTGACCCACGATGCCCACTGTTACAATTAAGCCTACCTTTTATTAATCCATTAAATTTTAATGAACTTGTTAATGGATTTCTGTCGCTTGAGCTGGAGTGCATTCTTTAAATACCACAAACACTACAAAACTGGGAAGAATGTGAAAAAGATCACGACTCAAACTAAATGTGAATTGATTAGAGACAAAAGTACAGCTGCTCTATACATTTTATATTTCATATTTTATATCTTAATTAGAGCTACAGTATATAGCAAGAGTTCACCTCTGCATTTTAATTGTGTTGCTGCTGGTGTTTGGAAATAAAGTTCTCATTGAGTGTCCAGATATGCTGGTTGAACAGTGCTGAGTGCCAGGAAAGTGTTACTGGGAAATGAGCTTTGGTCTTCAGTGATGAGAATGAGACCCCAGTACAAACCTCGTCTTACTACTTTTGGCATCTTGTGTCACCAACATGTAGCTTTCACTTCTACGAGTGAAATCCAAAATAGTGATGCAGTTATATTAGAGGGGACACTCTAATTACCTCCTTTTTTACACAATGTTGCCATTCCAATACAACAGAATCAATAAATAAATTATCTTCAACAAAATCTACTGAATTTAGAATCTAGGATACCTATCGCATTTTCCAGAACACACAATTGGTGGGGCATTTTTTTAAGAAAACCAGGTTGCTGCTGTAAATGTTGCTGGTCGACCAGTAGGTGGTGCTCTTTCCTATAGACCACACTTTTCGAACCAATTCTCCAATATTGTGACTGGGGGAACTCCGTTGCAGGAGTGAGACTTTAAAATGAGGTCTTTATTACTTGGTCATTAACAATCCCTTGGCTATACAGCATGGCCATCTTAAGATACCCCATTAATTCAATTGTAAAGCAGTTTCTCTATCTTTCC